ACATAAAACCGAAACTGCCCCGTTGGATAAATGTTTGCCCCAAAACCGCCCCATTACCCGTTCGGGTAATTTTTATTTGAACCGTACCCGCCCCAACGGGGAATCGGTTTATACACGAGTAACCGTTTCCCGTATTGATGCCAAGTAACCATTTTTTTGGAAAACAAATAACCAATTTCTAATCCTACTTGTTATTTATATATTCAAAGCACCCTAAAACATACCATTAGTAAATATTTAAGCAATCAAGCAGACTGGCCTAAATCCATTAGTATGACATGCACCTAATATCTCTTGTAACATAATAAAAAGGTAGTAAATATCCCAGAATCCGAATTCCAAAAACAGGTTTAAGCCTATATTTAGTTTTAGGCCTATACTTTTTAGCATTATTTATACGATATATACTATTTAGTATACACAATTTAGCATATATACTTATTATTCTTATATATAAAAAGTTATAATTCATTAATAATGTTACGGATCGGGTAACGGTGCGGGTACCCGCACCATTAGTAAACGGGGCGGTTTCGGGGCGGATTAGTATAGAACCATAACCGCACCATTAACCATTTAAAAAATTCGGGTATTCCCCGCCCCATACCCATTCCCCAGTCAAACCGGTTTTCCCCAATTTGACCAAATCGGTTCGGTGCGGGTATCCAACGGGTCGGCCGAAACTGCCATCTCTATTGACTGGACCTTTCATCACTTAAAATTTGACGGATTATATATGTATCAATTTTACATTAAAATACATGGTGAAATAATCGCAAGTATATGGAACTGTAAAGTGCAATGTGGATGACAACAAGTTTATTTGCATATACACGAGTGCATTAGTGTTCGTTATTACGAACAATCACCACATGTGTCGTCCATGCACATCTAATTTCAAAACACGGTGCACCTTTTCTCTATACGCTTTTTTCACACAAAACTTTGATGTATTTACTAAATTACTTCTCATTTTCCTCTTAAACAGCACTTTTTTATGGTGCCAGTCAAGCTTAAATTGGCTGCACATACCTTTTTCTAATAGTTTACAAATAAAACGAGTTTGAAAGAAATGCTTGAAACAGATTTATTGTGTTCAAATCTGTCATTTATTTTCTCTGTTTTCCTCGTTTTATTTTTTTACCATATGGGGGGCTCGTGACAGACCTTTAAGGCCTTGGGCCTAAAATTATTAGAACATGGGTCATGTGATATGAAGCAGAATCTAGGCTTGGAAGAAGAGGGGAAGAAGCCCCCGTGGGTTTACCGAAGGCGGGACGGGCTTGAGCCCACCTTCGTGGGCTGGCTGCGAGGAATTTAATTAATTTTAATTATTCCTTTTATTTTGTTTCCTAATTTATTTTGTTTCCTAATTTATTTTGTTTCCTAGTATGATTTAATTAGGACTTCTATTAATTAGAGGTTTCCTATTTCTATTTAGTTTCCTAGAATGATTTAATTAGGAGTTCTATTAGAACTAGAGGTTTCCTATTCCATTTAGTTTCCTAGAATAATTTAATTAGGACTCCTATTATGTTTCTTACTAGGATTTAGTGTCCTATTCAGTTTTGGATGTAAGGGTTATATAAACCCCTGCCTAGGCTTATTCAAATCAGGCATTAATAATATTGGTTTTAGCTATTTAGCTCTGGGCAACGGATCCAGCCGTTGATTATTTTGGGCAACGGGTTACCCCGTTGATTTTATTTTTTTCTGTTCTTATCAATTGGTCCGACCTGCCGGATCCCGTCCCGCCACAATGACGAGATCTATCAGTGAACATTTGTCAGAGATGAAGCAAACCCTGGAAGCAAACAGCAGGCGGCTGGATGAGATCGCCGCATCCCTTGCGGCGCTGACCAAGGCCCTTGTGCCATCGATCACGACGGAGACACCATCAGACACAGTCATCGGTGCCGCCATCGTAGCGGCAACACACAACGATAGACCTCCGCGCAGCACTCCTCCAACGTTGCTGCCCATGTTCAACAGAAAAGAACCGATTAGGTGGATAGCTAGGGCTGAGCAAAAGTTTGAAATTAATCAAACCCTACCTGAGAGGAAAGTGACAGCAGCTACGGTAGCCATGGAAGGAGCTGCCTTGGACGGGTTGACCTGGCTGAAGGCACAAAAACCGAGCATGACCTGGGAGAAATTTACACAAGCACAGGTGGCCCGATTTTATTCACGGTTCAAAGAAAGCCGATTCAAACGGCTGTTCGGGGTCAAAGAGTTGGGAACCGTAGAGGAATATAATAACCTTTTTGTTCAATTGGCCAGTCAGGTTTCCGGACTGTCCGATGATTATTACTTGGGGTATTTCATGAACAAGCTGAAAAGATCAAGTGGTAGCTTTCCTCAAGATACGGGGCAGCCCCCGGGGACAAATATGAGTCAGTTTCCGGATTTCAACCTTGAGGACAAGGTTTTTTCGAAGAGGGATGGAATTGATATGAAGCAGAATCTAGGCTTGGAAGAAGAGGGGAAGAAGCCCCCGTGGGTTTACCGAAGGCGGGACGGGCTTGAGCCCACCTTCGTGGGCTGGCTGCGAGGAATTTAATTAATTTTAATTATTCCTTTTATTTTGTTTCCTAATTTATTTTGTTTCCTAATTTATTTTGTTTCCTAGTATGATTTAATTAGGACTTCTATTAATTAGAGGTTTCCTATTTCTATTTAGTTTCCTAGAATGATTTAATTAGGAGTTCTATTAGAACTAGAGGTTTCCTATTCCATTTAGTTTCCTAGAATAATTTAATTAGGACTCCTATTATGTTTCTTACTAGGATTTAGTGTCCTATTCAGTTTTGGATGTAAGGGTTATATAAACCCCTGCCTAGGCTTATTCAAATCAGGCATTAATAATATTGGTTTTAGCTATTTAGCTCTGGGCAACGGATCCAGCCGTTGATTATTTTGGGCAACGGGTTACCCCGTTGATTTTATTTTTTTCTGTTCTTATCATCATGTCAGATTGTTCACGCTCTCAAAATGAACAGGACTGGATGGTAAAGTAGTAACATGGGATTTGCAGAACGAAGAAGATTTATTTGAATACCTGTAGTCATTACTACTGAAATGTCGTCTGTACAATTTTAATACCAAGTCTTAGGTATATCTGAATTACATTATTCATCCTCATCGACCAGAATTAAATTTGTATTCACCTCTGATTTTTTTAAAGAGCACTTGTGGTGTATTGATGTCACAGCTACCTTGATTGTTCAAGGTTTGTTATGAACAGTAGAGTTGTGACAATATTCTTGCTTTGAAACTTGAAAATGTCAGTTGGAGAAAAACAAACAATTAGGAAACCTACATTCTTTAGTCTGGTTTTGCCTTGGTGCTGGTTTTACTTTTCATTTTAATTTTTTTAATAAGTTTCCATTTATCGGTCTTATATAAGGCAAAATGCAAAAAAAGATAAGACCCATAAGATATGACTTGTCGTTTTTTAAATTAAGTATCTTTAAATTTATTACTCTTATATAATAAATCAAATCAAACAAGGGGATAACTTTTCGAAAATAAGGGGGGCCAAGTGTGGACTCAAAGCCGGATCAGGATCAGACTATCAGAGATTCAGAGTACGAAGTAGGCATGGCCTCGGTTTGGGCCGCCCGGCCCGGGACCGGCCCGACCCGCTACTGTGCGGGCCCGGGCCGGCCCGGTTTTCCGGGTCCGGGTCGGTTCGGGCCGGAGGCCCGGGGGTGGGGCGGTTCCGGGCTCGGTTCATGGGTTTGACGGCCCGGCCCGGCCGGTTCGGGCCCGGGTCCGGGCCAAATCTATTTTTTTTTTTATTTTTTTTCATTTTTTTGGGCTGTTGGGCTTGGGCTATCTGTTTAGGCCGGTTTGGGAGGGTTTGGGGGGGTTTGGGGGGGTGGGGGTGGGGGGGGGGGGAAGAAAGGAAAAAAAAAATCGGGTGGCCCGGTCCGGCCCGGAACCGGACCCGGGACCGCCCTACCCCGGTTCGGGCTCGGGCCTGATATTACTGAACCGAGGCCCGGCCGGGCCTAGGCCCGAGGCCCGAACCGGCCCGGTTCAGTCCACCACTAGTGTGAAACGGTTCTCTTAGAGGCATAGAGCATCCACAATGCCAATGACATTTGATCCCCTCCTCTCTTACACATCGTTTTCCTCCAAAAACTTAATCCCCTTCAACCTATCCTATTTTCCCCCACTATGGTGACCTAGGTCACTTAAAATTTTACATCCTCTCCTTATTTTGACATATTCCACCATTATCAATTTATTTAATTTGACAAAAAGAATACTTCATATAAAATCTACATTTGACTCACTGTATTATTTAGTGAAAAAATAAAATAAGCATATTTTTAAAAAGTTGTTACATATCCTTAATTCAGAGGAAAAGATCTTCTAAATGGATAAAATAAGATGCAAGAAGGAAAGAAATGATAAATTTCGAAGTAACTAAACATATTCTTCATTGATGTCTATGTATAGAGGGAAAAAATCCAATTTTTTGATATAATTTTTTTATTATTATAAATTAAATTTAATGCATAATAAATGAAATTAAGGAGTTGGGGGTAGTTAATGGGGTGAGTTCAAAGTAAAATGCCACTTGACTTTCTCTAAATGGTTAGTCACAAATAAGCTTGTAGCTCCCATTCTTAATCTTGCATGTTGATCCGTCATTTTATAACCTCCCATAGTGGGGATCAAGAGGGATCAAGTTGTTTTTGTGATCCCCATTGACCACCCATAGTGGGTGCCCTTAAACAAACTGTTCGTCCCAAATTATGATTCATTTAAAAATTAGGGGGAATATGACTTTGCACCCAGAGGCGGACCCAGTAAGGGTCCCACAGGGTCCCGGGACCCCGTGCACCTCGAAAAAAATACCTATATATTTTATATATATTATATAAAATTAATTATTAAGTGTATATTTACATAAAAAAAGACATAAGAACCAAAAGAATGGCGTAGAGGAATGGGAGCACATGCGGGATTTAGGTTTCTATGATGGATGAGGTACCATGTTCAAATCCCCTTGGGGCTCCTTTTTATTTTCCAAAACTATTTAAATTAAATAGACCAAAACTACGTCGTTTTGGCCTATTTTAATTAAATAGACCAAAACTATTATAGAATATTTCCAACAAATGAAGCTTAGGAGGGTACATCTCTAGAATTGTTGAATGATTTTTATATGTAATTTTTTTGCTTTATAATACCTTAATATTTTGATGGTGTATGTTAACTATGAAATGTTATGCTTCTTTAATATTTTTTATTAGTTTTATATTAATTAGTGATTAGAGATATAAAAGGGTAGGGACCCCGTGACTCCGACTTTCTGGGTCCGCCACTGTTTGCACCCCACTTTTAGGATGATATTGGACTTTGCATCCATTTTGAAAAAACTTTGACTTTGCATCCCATTCCACTTAAAAGTCCTTTGACTTTGCATCCCATTTAGAAAATTTTCTTCACAAAGTGTTATGTGTTGGGATACAAAATCAAAGTTTTTTCAAATTGGGGTGCAAAATCCAATATCACCCAAAAAGGGGGTGTAAACTCAAATTCTCCCTAAAAAATTAAGGTAGTTCCAAATATATGTAGCACTTGTCTCTACGAATTTTCGGGATAGTTCAGGGCTGTTTTTGTATACCATTTAGTTCTTAAATAATTTATATAATTAAATAACTTATCAAGTATAAGGAAATGTTCAGACACTCAATTTCAAAGGTTCTGTATTTCTAATGTCAAACATTAATGGAGCACAAGTAAGAATGTTCATCATAATTAACGCAACAACCATAAAATTATAATTGCCAATATTCATTTGAACTAAAAAGAGAAAACTCTCAAATAGGCCCTTATACTTTGTCCAATTCCTCAATTAAGCCCTCATACTTATTAATCACTCAATTAAAAGGTGTTCAATTAAACTAATTAGCAGGTAACCAACCAGTTCCCCAGTTAGCTACCCGTGTGGCAGTCCTCGTGGTGGATAGATGTCATTTTCCTTTTCCTTTTTTCCTTGAGTCAATTCCCTAAATAGGACTAAAAAGTGGACAAATTGCACAAATAGGACTACATTTTTTAAATTCCCTTAATAGGACTATTTATGTGTGTTTGGACAAATATACCCTTGTAACTTGTGAACTGTTTTAATTAATAATAAAATCATAAAAAAATTAATAAAAATCGAAAAAAATACTAAAATAGTAAAAAAAAAATAATAGAAAATTAATAAAAATATTTTTTAAAAAAATAAAAAAAAAATATTTTTTTTAAAAAAAATAAAAAAAATCATAAAATTAAAAAAAAACACATTACCACCCCTGCCACCCCCCAACACCACCATCTCCCATCACCGTAAAAAAATATGCCAACATTTTATATAATGCCATAATGATGGCATAATCAATGAAAATGTTGGCATATTGAAGAGTAATTATGCCATCTTTTTGGCATTTTCAGAAAAATATGGCATTTTTTTATCAAAAGTGGAAGAAATTTCACCAATCGGAGGTGGTGGTGCTGGGAGGCGGCGGGAGGCGGTGAGAAAGGTATCCATAATTTTTTTCATTTTTTATGGGTTTTTACTATTTTTTATTATTTTTCAAAAAAAATAAAAAAAATAAAAAATTAAATTTTTTATTTTATAAATGTTTTAAAATTTTTTTTTAATTTTTTTACGTTTTTTAAATATTTTTTTACGTTTTTTGTGATTTTATTATGAATTAAAGCATTTCATTATGAATTAATACTCTTAGGGGTATTTAGGGTAGAAAATCAATGTTTAGTCCTATTTAGGGAATTTTAAAAATAGTAGTCCTATTTGTGCTTTTTAGGAACTTTTTAGTCCTATTTAGGACAATTTCCGTTTTTCCTTTTATTTCTTTTTCTCTTTTTTCTTTTCCCCGTCTTTCCATTTTTTCATTCTCTTCCTTAGGCCTGCACGACGTATGTCTCCCTTCGTCTTTCCTTTCTTCCAATCTCCCCCCTCCTTTCTCCCCCTTCCTTTCTTCCCCAGTTGCCTAAAATTTCTGGCCGCCTCTTTCTTTCTAGACCGCGTGTTCTTCGGCGGAGACAACAAGAGTGGAATTATAGCGCACAGAATGGCGTTCCGGCCGGAGAATGCAGACCGAGCTTCGCAGATCTCGCCGCCGGTTCACCAGATCTCGCCGCCGGTGGTTAAGAGCTTTGTGACTAGCTCACTGCTTCACCAGATCTCGCCGCCGGTTCCGAGCTTCGCATCCTCCATAGCTACAGTTCTCCCCTGCCTCTGCTCTGGTTATGGTCGTTGCAGCTTCGAAGGTCTAAGCAAACCTGGCCCTGTCCAGTACCATCGCTCCACTCTCTTCGCAATACGTGACCATCCAGGCCATTGCCGTCGAGGGATACGTCGTGCGCCGTTGGATGAAGTTTGCCCGTCGAGGGATACGTTGTGCAGGCCCAGGGAAGGAAGAGAACGGAAAAAGGGAAAGAAGAGGAAAAGGAAAAAAAAAGAGGAAAAGAAATAAAAGGAAAAAAGGAAAAGGAAAATGACATCTGTCCGCCACGCGGGTAGCTAACCGGGGAACTGGTTGGTTACCTGCTAATTAGCTTAATTGAACACCTTTTAAGAGTTCGGGGGATTTAATTGGGTGATAAATAAGTACAAGGGCTTAATTGAGGAATTGAGCAAAGTACGAGGGCCTATTTGAGAGTTTTCTCAACTAAAAAAAATCATAATAATCAACTGAATATTTATAAGATTTGATTTATTTATTACTTATGTTGGGCTAACTGCTAAATGAATAGGGTTAATCCAACGTTAATACAGTAACTAACTAGACGAAGTACCCGTGCGAATGTGCAATGCACGGGGTATATCTAGAATTGAATAGTAACTTATATAATATTATATTTTTCGATATTACATAATGTGTAATTTTGAGAAAAAAATACAATAGAATGTATATTCTTTTAACTTTTATTATATAAGTTGCGATAGATATAAGAAAATAAAAATTTGGATCGCATGATAAATTGCATGTGAAATAAAAAAAAATGATGATAAGGTATAAAAATAAGCTCTACATGACAATAAAATAAGTTGATGGTACAATTATTAGTGGGTGTCATGAAACTTTATACATAGTGAAATAGAACAATCATATTTGTTGACAATAATCTTCAAAAAAGTTTCATAAATTTTGGAAAAAGAATTGTTTGCTAATAAAAACTTTATTAGTTGTGTTGATAATATGACCCTTACTGTCACATATAAGTATATAACAATCTTCAACCCACTCTTTAAAGTGGCCCTTAACATGGCAGCATACAATTGCCTGTGTGCAAAAACAGATTTTGGAAGATATATGCAAACTTGAAACATAGTTTGTCATTTGGCTTTTGTTTATTATCATGGCAAATGAAACGGTCGAGAATTGCCAGTGTTGAACATTGAAAGCAATTCTGCTATCTGACGGGACCAATGATAGCCATGGAATAAAAAAACTTCGTGACCAATTGAGTTGTAATCAGGCGAGTCTCATTACATAAGCCAGAGAGTTGTACAAAAATTCTTGAGTATGCACTTCATCGGAGTCAACTTAGTGTTGCCCTTACGCGAGCATGTGCTGTTAAAACTCAAATAGGTCTCCATTTGTTCATGCACCAATGAATCATATAATTATTGATAAGCTCTACAACATCATTTTTGGTGTTAAAATAGCTCGTTGATGAAAATATGAGGATCAATCATATTGTCCATAAACGACAGATAAGTGCTAACAAGAAAAATATATTATTGCTTGCTTTATTTCATGTTAGCAAGTCCTTTCCTCCATTGGAAAGCACGGAAACTTACCTTTGTTTGGCAAAGAAAAACAACTTAGAGCCCCTTTGGTAACACGCTTATTCGGCTTATCAACCAACTTTTCCACCAAACACGTAACTTTTGATTTTGCACGTTGAAATGTGTAATAATAAGAAAAAGTAAGGTTGAAGTTACTTTTCTAGCTGTTTCGGTTGAAGTTACTGTAGAGGACTATTTTAGCTATTTTTACATATAATTTTACTTTATGTTATTAATAAAATATATTTTAAATTTAATTTTTTCAAAAATCAGCAGAATCGGCCAATACAGCCACTTAAGCCAGAACTTCATAAATTCCAACGGGATCAGCAGATTCAGATAATTTCAGTGTTACCAAATAGCCAAGCACGAACGGTTTGGTCAAGCTTTAACCAATGATAATAGTCAGGGTTCATTATTGGAGCCTGATATAGATCATAGGTATGAAGAGGTGGAGCCGCAAAAGAACCGTCAAGAAAACCCAAAAGACCATTCGCAACCAAAAAGGACTCAAATTGTGTTCGCCATGGTAAGTAATCTTCAACTGCTAACAATTTAGTGGTAACAATTTGAGTGACAGAAGAGCCAAAAATCATGCCTTGGGCCATAGAAGCAAAAGAGACGGGAATTGATGATTCTGTTGGACGCCTTCCTATTGGTTCGCTGACAGGAGGCTGATGAATACCAGGGTGGCCGGAAAAAGTAGAGCCTCCAAATCGCGCGCGAGCTGCTGCAGCGTTGCTTGACTCACCATGGAGGTCACCGGAAAACATGGGTTGCGGCTGAGTCAAGGGAGGTGTCGGGGTCCAGGTAAATAGAGGCGGAACCCACGTGGACTGTAGCGGCGAGAACGAAGATGTGGGAACGATCTCAGACTCTGGCGGCGCTAAGGATGGAATTCGCTGGTCTGCCGCGCTCGATGCTGGTGCTGCGGACTCCGGCGTAGTCATCGCGGCGGAAGTGATGACGGAACTCGAGACAGCGGCGGCGGCAGATGTAGTTGAGGAATTCATCGAAAAAAAAATTATATTTGTCTAAAATCCTAGGGCTCTTGATACCATGTGAAAGTAATGGAAAGGCATACCTAATGTGGTAGCCTAGATGTCATATATATAATAATAAGAGTTCTGAGTACATTAGGAAACAAATAAATATGGAAACCTAATTAAAGTATTAATTACACTATTACTTAGTGCATTTGGCACAGTACAATAATTATTTAAGCAAACTGATTCGAAAAGCAATGTCACTATAGTCAGATGAACAGAGTTGTGTGGCTGCATCAAACTCTTTCTAGTTATTATATCACCTTGATGGATAGGGATGAGAGTGGAGTACACTACTCGTCCATTTCATTAATAATTATCTTGGAAGCCATGTTGCAACCACAGTTGGCCAAGGTATCAACGCTAGCAGTTTAGAGGTACAGTTACCCGCTTTAGTTGCCTTACAATTTTCAAGAATTTTAATAAAAAGGCATCATAGTCTTGCTTTCCCATGTGTTCCTAATTTACTCCCTAATGTTCAGTTTTCTTCACATTCATCAAAAAGAAAGCCCAAACTCCCTTAAGGACTTATATTTGGAGAGCCTGCCCAATAAGCAATTACTTTGTGTCTTCAAATTCAGATCTGCCTCAGGACTAAAAGGGGTTCGATACTGAGGAAGTGAGGATGTTAAGTTACTAACCTTCTTAAGCATTTCATTCGTTCATCATCTCTCAAGCCAATTGAGGGTTTCTTCGCTATTGCATTTCTCCTCTCTACACCTGCATCTTTAGGTGTCCTGTTCCTAACTATGGTTATTCAGAGTTTTATAAAGAAAATACCACAAAAAATGAGACAGAAAATAATGGGTTGGTATATATTTCATTAATGCATAAAAAACAAGCTTTATAAGTTGATATAATAGTTCATCTGTTCATGCAAAGAAGCAAGCAGCAAATAAACAAACTGTTGGGTTAATGGCCCAAGTCAGGGTCCGGCCCATTCACCCCTTTTTACCAGACGTACGTCCAGTTAGAACACAAAGCTAGCCTGACAGGCCCATGTTCCTCCAGGAGGGACGAACGTCTGCAGTTGGGGGTTTAGGCTCAACGGCCCATCTCGACGAACGTCTATGCAGGGACAAGGAGCAGGACCACGGGTCACCGGAATGACGACGAACGTCGTCAGAGCAAGCCCATGGCCATCGGAGGCGGTCCGGTCCACATGGCGAGAATCTGCAAAGGCGAGGGGACGAGCGGCCAATACCCCTTGGAGGCCACCTGGAGCTATCCAGCTCGCTCCCCGGGCGGACGAACGTCCCCACTAATCAGGCGGGAAACCTAGATTCTGGCGGGAAGTGCATTTAATGCTGAAGATTTGGTGGTTGGGACACCAGCGAACCACAGGCTTCCACGTCAGTACAGCCACCTGCCCATTGGCGGGTATAAATAGAAGCATTTGTTTCATTGTAAAGGGTTGGCAACTTTCTATTCTTAGCACTCTAGCTATAGCATTCTTACTCGCAGCACTTCTACTGCCTTGTAAGACGAACGGCCGACGGAGCCTTAGCGAAAAGTATTGTATTAGGGAGTTATTAAGAGATAATAATACCTAATCACTTACTTGCTACCTTGTTGTTTCTTGATTCATCTCATTTGTTAGTTGGGCTAGTTTACTCACACATACTCCACTCGAAATCCTTGGGCTTACGTGTTGGACCCGAAGGTTGAAGGAATAAACCTCAACACTGGCGCCGTCTGTGGGAATGCCACGAGCATGGGACGACGCCTTCTGGCGATTTCCCGTGGATCGACGAACACCTTCTGCAAGAGCAGAAGGTTAGTAGGGCCACGAGCATGGGACGACGAAGCAGGGAGCCCGCGATAGGGTAAACCAGTGACCTCCTTGCGATCGGTGAATACCGAACGTCTTCTTCGAAGTAAGAAGGTTAGTAGGGTCCCGACAAGGATGAACGAAGAAACGGGAACCCTGACAGGGTATACCGGTTCCTCCCCCTTGATGAACGGATGACGAACGTCTTCTGCGAAGCCAGAAGACTAGTAACTCACGATTGGGGACGAACAGAGATGGGGAATCCCGACGTGGATATACCTGTTTCTTCTCAGAGTGGGGATGACGAACGTCTCCTGCGAAACCAGGAGACCAGTAATCACGAAACATGGGAAGAACAAAGATCGACAAAAGACTCCAAAAAAAAAGGAAGCAAGGTATGCTAGACGAACATGGAGCAAACAATAATTTTTATTCTTCGGCACTGATGGCCGGAAAGTTACAATGTGTAAGGTACAATGTAAATAATGAAGAAATTGGTACAAGTACAAGATAATGAACGGAGAATCACTGCTGATCGACGTCCGGAGTTGGAGCCTTGAAAAGAGTCTGCTTGGCCTTTTCTCTAGCTTCGGCTTCCTCCTGCTCCCTACGCTCCTTCAGCAGCTCAAGGGCCCCCGCATGAGCGTCCGCCATCAGAAAGTCAAAACCGGCGGCCTCCGGGTCGAAAGGAGCCCCGAAGTGACGCTCGAACGTCGGGAGATTCTCTGCCACTAGCCCAACCATGCCCTTGCGATAGGTATCATCGGCGAGATCATCAAGGAAACGCCGTCCGGTGGGGGTGGCTTGGAGCAGCTTAACCCCATCCAGATAGGGGTCAGGGCAGGTGGCCAAAAACTCACCGACGAGCCTCGGGAGGAACCTCATGGCCATGGTATGAATGGCGCCAGTATAAGCTTTGGACTTCTGAAACTCAATAGAGCCAGACTCCTTGATCTTGGCAACATCGGCCTCG